CCAGCCCGCTCCGCGCGCTCTCCGCACCTGAGTATTTCACTTCATCACTGCGCCTCCTCTGAGTCTGGGTATGATATTCTCTTTCCTCCTTGTTGTAGAATTTCCACTCAGCCAGCCTTTCTGTGGTTCTGGATGATGTCCATTCCGTCTTTTAGGTGTATTTTTGAATTGGTTGTTTGAGGCAGCAATCTCCGGCGTTAACCTATGCCGCCATCTTGGTTCTCTCCCTGAATTGCTCTCTAACTGGACTATGGCCTTGACCGTGGCTGAACTCAGTCACGCAAGCACTGACTCTGGGTCGGGCGGCCTGGGGTCAGACGTCAGCTCCACCGTTTAGCAGCTCTGCCACCTTGGGCAGGACATTTAAATCTGCTCGGCCACCGTCACGGGTTAGACGGCAGCTTCCATGCTGACTCTCACCTGCTGGACTTTATGCTGCGTGGGCACTTCCTAGGCTAAAAGGTGAAGAGAAGATAACACTGTATTGTCCCTATTCTCCAGCATTTAAAAGGTTTGAATACGTGTGACCTGAGAAGTTTAAAGAGCAAGCTTAGGAGAGCCTTAACTGGGGTGGCTGCTAGAGAGGGTGGGGTCTGGCCCTGGGTCCCAGGGTCCGAGCAGGAAGTGGGGCTCTCCCCTCAACTCTGCGTGATGGGGGACGGTCATCTAACTACTGACTCCCAGCTTCTCGGGCGTCTGCAGGGACTGGCAGACCAGCCCTGCTGTGTGAACGCCCCTTGGAGCGAACGCGGCATGGAGCGCTGTGGGAGCTGAATCTGAACTCTGTTCCTAAGAGCAAACATCTACCTTCTACAAGGAAACAGACACATGCCCCTGGAACACTCTCCATTCTGCTCTTTCCGGGGTGTTGTGAGAACCAGCGTTATTAAAATACTTGGCGGTCCTCTATAAAGGGAACTCTGGGTTTTCCTGCACCATCACCATCCAGGTGCCAATTACTCCGGCCCGCCTCCCGCCCCCTCCCAGGAATAAAACGGGTTTCATGCCCAGCAGAAACCAGTGCGACACACACCCAGGAGCCCTTACCCTTTTAATAGAGATAGATCGGACATTTCTGGACACCGAGCCACTGCAAGTATCGGGTGCTTTTCTTTGACTTTTGCCTGCAGGGGAGCGGGAGAAGAGAACGGGATGTGAGAGCCCGCAGGGTCCGTCCACGGCTGGGTCGTAATTATAACTGACCTTTTCATCCAACCTGAACTGCCCGTGACACTCACAGGATTCATGTTATTCGATCCCACCCATGCTGCTGACTTGTTAAGCCCTCCCCCCCCAAGCCTGCTCATCTACAAAATACATTCCGTGGTGCCACCTTACTGGTTGGGCATCGTGAAGACTTGGCAGGGAAATAGGTACGAACCGCCTGGTGCAGTGTGGCACATAGTAGGTGGCCTCTGAGTGGTATGGCCCTTCCCTCCTTTGTTGCCCAATGCCAAGAAGTCAGATTTCAGACTCCTTCCGAAGATTACAAAACTATCCTCATCTGAAACTCTGGATCCCTACTGAACGCGTTTTAGATACTAGAAAGCCGAACCCCACAGAAACACTAGGACAGTGATGGCGAACCTCTGAGCTCGGCGTGTCAGCATTTTGAAAAACCCTAACTTAACTCTGGTGCCGTGTCACATAGAGAAATTTTTTGATATTTGCAACCATAGTAAAACAAAGACTTCTATTTTTGATATTTATTTTATATATTTAAATGCCATTTAACAGAGAAAAATCAACCAAAAAAATGAGTTCGCGCGTCACTTATGACACGCGTGTCATAGGTTCGCCATCACTGCACTATGAGAAAGGCGATGAGAAAGGATTTTGCCTCTGTCTTCCGAGCTGCGGTGGCTTTTCTCTTTTAAAGCCTTCTTCTCCATCTCAAATCTCTCAATTGCCTTCAAAAACCAAGAAGAAACGGGGCATTAGGGAGCGGTGCAGATCTTGGCGCGGGCGGGCGGTCAGGGACGAGGCCACGTCGCCTGTTGGCGTGCAAAAGGCCCGGAGCAGAGTTTGTGACAGCCTTTGCTGTCCCCCCCCACCCCCACACCGGTGGTAGGATCTTGGTGGCTTCTGGCCTCATCCTCAGTGTCACCGCTAATACATCCCCCACCCCTGCCCCCTCTCACGATGCTCCTCCTCCCAGCTGCAGCTCCGGGCTCCGCCTTTGAGGAGTACAGGGTTTGGAGCAGATCCAAGGTACTGTTTAATCTCTCGGGAAAAGGGGAATAATAATACCTACCTTTCAGGGTTCTTACAAGGATCAGATACAAAGTATTTACTGCATCTTAAAACACAAGCGCAGAGGCTATCACATAGGAGCTGCTCAATAAAGGGTAGCTATTATTATTATTGGGCCTCGTACCCCTGACCTCTCAAAAACATTCTCTTGGCCTCTGACTCCTCCTCTCCTCCCCCCACACACCCTCCTGAAAAGGAAAGAAAAATGAATGTCAGTGACCCAACAAGTTGTACTGATTTTTAGCCACCGTGCCCAGATAACCAAGTTAACAAAGAAGTGTGATTCTGTGTTCTGGCCCTCAAGGAACTTACAATCTATTCTGGGAGCTAAGTCAACAATTACACTGGTAAATTTAGGTTTCACTCAAGTGAGGTGAATGTGAGCTGGAGCAGTCACAGAGGACTGCCTGGAAGAGGTGGCACAGGAGTGGGGAAATTATGAGGCCTCTGTCGCCTGAGCTTGCTAACGGTGAAGTGCCTCTGAGCCTTCCCCTGTCTCTCTCCTGAACCGGCATGTGTGCAGGTGTGTGTCCGTGGGGCAGGGCTCACACTGATATGGTATGTGGCAACACGTTGCTCTAGGACAGAACACAGGGATAAGCCATGATGGATGAATCGGTGGGTGGGTGTCAATGTAGCAGAACAGCAAGGCCTCTGGTCCTTCCCAGATGCCCTGCAGCCAATATTGTAAGGGCCTTGGAAGGAGGGACAAGACCTGCACACGGAGGGAACAGAAAGGGGAGCTGGACACTGGGAGGAAGCAAGTTTTAGGGGGAAATGATGAGACCGGCATTTGGCTGAGTTTGCACTGGAGTGACAGCAGGACCTACCAGTGGGGCTGTGCCTGGCTGATGACCAGCATCGCAGGCGATTATCCAGATATTCAGATTCATTAGAGGCTTATTCCTTGGGTCTGTGTCGGGTCCTGAATTGTTTATTGTGACTCCTGAATAGTTTTCTATTTAAACACACACACACACACACACACACACACACACACACACAAATTTGCATGGTACAAAGCCAAAATAGCACAGTAAAAAGTCTTCTTTCTACCCCTTGCCCAATACCCTTAGTTTCTCTCATCACCTTTCAGAGTTATTTGGTTCAAATGGGAGCATTCGCCTTGCAATTTTCACTTTTAGTTTCTAAAACGCTCCCGGCAGTCAGACGATTAATTAGGTTTAGGTACCTCTCCTCTAGGTAGCTGGAACATGGGCCCGAAATGCAGGTGAGAAGCGACAATTTGCAAATGCATTACTCATTCCACAGGTATTCCCTGGGCACCTACTAAAAGCCGTGCGCTGTGCCCATGTGAGGATGCAGCAGGGAGCAGTGATGCCATCCCTGCCCTACAAGGCCTCCCAGACGAATGGGGGGAAGCTGATGATCAAGAGCTGAGTGGCGCTGTGGTGGGAAGGACAGGATGACAGGAGGGGCCCAGAAGAGCTATCCACACTAGTCTTGGGGTGGAGTGACCGAGAAGGCCTTCCAGAGGTAGTGGCCCGCAGGCAGGGAGGAAGGAATGCCTACCCGGGAATGAGTAGTGAAGCGGTGGGCGAACAAGCTCTCAGGGAGGCTGGAAAAAGAGCCACGCATGGCTCCTGGCCGGAGCCTGGAGGGAGACCCACACTTAGGACATGAGGGAAGGAATAGGATAGGATGGGAGGAGGGGGAACTGGGCCTCAAAAGGAGGCGGCCCACTCAGGTGTCAGTGCTGATCTATTAAGACTTCTCATCCGCCAGGCACTGTGCTAGGAGCATCCAGCAGGCAGGACGGAGGCTGGAGAGACCAACCTGGCTGCAGGTGCTGACCCAGCAGAAGCGGCCACCCAATCAAGGCCTGGGTGTAAAGGGCACGGCAAACCTCGGCCAGACATACACCCACATAAATACTATACAGGCAACGGAACCTGGACAGAGGGGGAAAGGCAATACAATGGAGCACATACAGTCTTTTCAACAAATGGTGCTAAGACAACTGGACATCTGATGCAAAAAAATGAACCAAGACACAGACCTTACACCCTTCATAAAAATGAACTCAAAACAGATCACAGACTAAATATAGGAGGTAAAACTGTAAACTCCTATAGGATAACAGGAGGAAACTTAAATGACCTTGGGTACGGCGATGACTTTTTAGATACAACACCAAAGATACGATCCATGAAAGAAACAATTGATAGTTGGAATTCATTGAAATGAAAAATGTCTGCTTTGCAAAAGACAATGTCAAGAGAATGAGAACACAGGCCACAGGCTGGGAGAACATACTTGCAGAAGACATACAGGCTAAAGACTGTTATCCAACAGATACAAAGAACTCTGAAAACCCAGCGATAAGAAAACAAACAATTCAATTACAAAATGGGGCAAAGACCTTAACAGACACCTCACTAAAGAAAAAACACAGATGGCCAGTAAGCACATGAAAAGATGTTTACTGTCACATATCATTAGAGAATTTCAAATTAAAAAATGAGATATCATTATGTACCAATTAGAATGGCCAAAATCCAGAACACCGACACCACCAAATGCTGACAAGGATGTGGAACAAGAATTATCCTTCATTGCTGATAGAAATGAAAATGGAGCAGCCACTTTAGCAGTTTCTTACACTTAAACATACTCAACGTATGGTCCAGGAATCCTGCTCCGTGGTATTTACCCACATGAACTGAAAACCATGTCCACAAAAACCCTGCACGTGGATATGTAGCGTAACTTTATTCATAATTACCCAACGTGGAAGCAACCAAGATGTCCCTCAGTAGGTAAGCAGAGAAATAAACTGTGGAGCGTTCCGACAATGGAATACCACTCAGTACTAAAAAGAAATGACCTGTCACCCTGGCCAGTTTGGCTCCATGGACAGAGCGTCAGCCTGTGGACTGAAGGGTCTAGGGTTCGATCTTGGTCAAGGGCACATGCCTGGGTTGCGGGCTTGACCCCCAGTGTGGGGTGTGCAGGAGGCAGCCGATCAGTGATTCTCTTTCATCATTGATGTTTCTATCTCTCTCTCCCTCTCCCTCTCGGAATGCACAGCACAACGAGAGGCCGCTAATGTAGAGGATGGGCTTGGGGTAATGATGATGTGCCAACTCAGGTTCCCCAGTTACAACAACGCACCACTGTGCTGTGAGGCAGTTGTGCACACGAGGACAGGGATAACCGAGAACTCGATACTTTCA